TTATGACTGACTGATTTTATTTATTTACTGAAAATTATCTGCCGCATCAACGTCTAGAAAGGGGGAGCTGATGGGGTACAGTATAAGGTAAAGGGTGTTAGAAGAGGAAGGAGTTAAAGAAATAGGGAGCATTATGAGTAAGTATTGTAGCAAAAACATAAAAAATGAGTTAACGATTAGCATATGTGGTCAGTACAAGAGATTGAAGAAAAGGAAAAGGAAAAGGAAAAGGAAAGGAGGAGAAGAAAAGACTGTGCAAAATTAGTTGAGGCGAGGGCTGAGAACCAAGGTAGGGGTGTTCCCCTACAATGGGCCTCAGCCCTATCTCCTAAGACCCCCCACAACAACAACAGGCAAGGGATTAGGGGGGGATGACTGACTGACGTGATCATCTCTCACTAACTCACTAACTTATTCTAATATCAGTTCATATGCTAATAAAATTTGTAGATTTTTGTATTGGCTGTGGGGGTTCCAACTTCACAACCATACTCGCTAGCAAAAGTTATCTGAACAGGTGTCAGGTTATTATCATGTTTATTCAATTTCTGCTAATATTTTCTGGTGTTTTTTTTCACACTATTATTATCATCAATGTCATTCAATGTTATTCATATTCCAATTGTTTATTCTTGTTACTGTTATCATAATTTTCATTATCAATACCATTATTATCACTATCATATCATTAAAATTACCATTTTCATTATTATTATCATAAATACTATCTTTTCTCTGTTTTTTCCATTTTCCGCTCTCTTTATCATATGAAATACGCTTCTTGGCTTGGGTTTTTAATTCTTTTATTTCCTTTTGCTTTTTAAAAAGCCTGCTACGAGTGAAATTTCCCCCAACATGTGATTCCCCGTCAGATACCCCAACACTGTTGACAGGAGTCGGGGATTTAGTCTCTGGTGGGTGCATTCCTGTTAAAAACCTTTACCCGATATTTTTATTATAATTATCATTCCCATTATTATCACTGTAAAGTCTCGACCATTCTATCCTTGGATTGTACATGTCCCCTGCTTGGGGTGAAAAAATATTTTCAATATTTTCTCAATTCATTGTTGCTGACAAACACTATCTAGTTATGCTTACATTGGTTACACTTATACTAAACACAAATAATTGTCATTCCCCTTATAAAATACACTATAACAACTAATTACCCAGCATTTACACTGTATGATCATTAGTGTATATTGATTACATGCAAATACTGCATGTATTTGCCACTTATAATCCGAGGGCCAACCGTATATTTTCTATTTCAAATCAAAAGAATCCCTTACTCAGATATTAATAGTAAAAATAAAGATTACTCACATGAATTCCTTTGATAATATGCCTCATCATAAATGGCAATGCAGAATCACCTATATCATTTTTGACTACACTCTTATGTTGAGAAACCTTAAATACACTTTTTCTATTTCAGGCACATCCAAGATAATTTTTACTACTTAAATACTGTCTCCTCTTTTTTTTTCTCTCTTTCTTTCTTTCTCTTTTTCGAGACATGCAAGATTTCTGTCGTGCCAGGATTTGGTGACCTGACTTCCTTGACGGTTGCTATTGTGATGACAACAATAATAAATCATCTCTGTGATGGAAGTTTAAGTTTAATTTAGTTTTAGGCTAGGCTAGGCTAGGCTAGGCTAGGCTAGGCTAGGCTAGGCTAGGCTAGGCTAGGCTAGGCTAGACTAGGCTAGGCTAGATTAGATTAGACTAGACTAGACTAGACTAGGATAGGAAAGGCTAGGCTAGGCTAGGCTAGGATAAGCTAGGCTAAGTTAGACTATATTATGTTATGCTAAATCTAAGAACTTTATTTATCAGTTGCATGAGAAATCACTGTGTTGTTTATATCAAATGTCTTTTTATATAGCAATTATTCACAACCTTATTCTTATTTTCACTATCTTTTTGTTCTTTTTACTTCTCTTCCTCTACTTTACTAAAGAGGATAGTATGTGCATTCATCTTTACACTCAAACAGGATGACAGCCTCCAAATGCCACCACAGTGTCACTAATTAAAGTCCTGAGTAAAAGAAACAAGCTATGTATATTATGGAGATAAACAAGAGATTTGGAGATGCTGTTGGTGATAATGATGCCAGGTTTGATTATCATTATTGTTATTGCTGTTTTACTTTTGATAGGGACGATTATGATACTAAGCACAGATGATACTGACAGTGAAGAGCAGTGATGATAATGAAAATGCCGTGTGCTGGCGATAGTAATGGTAATGGGCGTTGATGATGCTGAGCATTGATGCTGTTGATGGTACTCCCTCGGCGCATCCCACGTATCCACCTGCACGAGATAAATTCGGGATGAGAGATGCTAGCGATGCCGACGTTCCTCTCGGGGTGTCCTCCCTTCAACCCCGTCTGGCCTTTGTTCCCTCCTTAACACTCCCGAAGACGAGCCGCAGCAGCCACCACCTCACGCCATCCCCACAACCCTCCCTTCGAACCCACCGGCGGGGC